CTGATTACTCATTTCGATGTCGCGCATACTGATCTCCGGTAATAATGGAAAAAGTTCGAATTCACTGACAAGTCATAATTTCGTATTATACAAATATAATTTTTATTTGGTAATCTAGAATTACAATTTACAATCATACATTCTCAAAATTAATCTTTAATGCATCAATTTTTAATTTTGCATAACCAAGGTGGCAAGGTGTACTTGCTATATTTATTTAMTTATTTTGATAAAGTCGATATGGTTTRAGTTATTTACTGTTTGCATTTCAATGTGAAAAAAGTGCAATGTATCGTCTGAGATGTGCAACTCCCTATATTACGCGGCACGTAAACACAATTTCACAACCCAGTGGACGCTAGCCAAGAGCCAACTCAAATAAATATAATTCAGTGAAAGTAAAAATTTATAGCATRTTATTACTCATTATATGACCATCGCCCAAAGAATCTATCGAGTTTCGGGTCCCGTATATATGTATATAATATATAAATATATATGCATATGCCACATTGTATGCATACATCCTACTTTAATTTTAGGGACGAACGACGAAGGATATATCCTTGAAAAATAATATCGATAGTAACGATCTATGCAATGAAGATCCGTTGTTTTCGTCAGAAAAGAATAATGAAAAACTATATAATACATAATAATAACAGCTAGTCTGTTACGTAACATACATTTAAATGCAAATTCTAGGTAAGCCTTGATCGTTTTTGTATACTTTTTTTGAACTCCGATGATTTCTTTTAATGATAACTGGCATTTTAACCAACGATCAGCTTTGTTGATAAAACAAAACCAGAACTGGATATAACTAGACAAAAATGTTGCGTACTATTTATATTACTATAGTACTATGGTAATATTATTTTACTGAAAACTATTTTTTTTTTTTTTAGATACATCTTAAGTATTTATATAATTCTGACAACTTATTATAGTTATTATTAACACATGTAGGTAGTTCTTTATAATTTGTTAATGTAGAAAAGAACGAAACTTATTATATGTATGCGTACCTATATTATTATATTATTTGATTAATAAATATATTATATAATTATATAATACATAAGGTAAAAATAAAATAAATAAGTTAGTAGGTAATAGTTTTTTGTACCATAATATACCGACGTCTTATAGATATAAATGGTAATAAACTAATAACCAATATTGTACGATAAATGTCGAATTTTATTATAGAAAAAGTAAAAGTTAAGGACCGATGAGRTGCGGCTGATCATGAAGTGACGCATTGCATCATTGCTAAGTCACGCCAAACTTTTCTGGTACTCACGGATGGGTGACCACACGGGTATACCTTAAGAACGTACCAAGCCGTCCATTCCCCCGCACAATATATATATATATATACTATATTATACTATATGTACCATGCTTATGGTAGTCGCGGAACCAGTTAAAGTCCTATTCAAATAAAAAAAAGGTTTTATTAGTAGATATATATATATATATATATTTTTTTTTTTACAATGTTTTATTCAATCTATTGCAAAAAAAAAAGAACAATAGTAACAACTACTAAGGAAGTAATAGATAGTAATAAAAAAATTAACTAAAAAAAACAAATAGTTAAATATAACAGAGCGTAGAAGTCTCCCAATGGAGGTAAAATGTTATTAGATGTATAAATAAGTAGAAAATTATTAGAATTYAGTTTTACAAACCTGATTTTTGTAAAAAAATATTAATTTTGTTTAAAAAATGTCATCACCATGATATAAAATAAAATACAATACAGGTATAATATGCAAGTATAAAAAAATTCATTTATAATATGTYTATAAGAACATTTTCATTTATTTCTTAATCAATTAAATCATTAATTTACAATCTCGTATGTTTTGCAAATAATGATTTGTCCCAATTACTCCATGCGTTATGGACATGTCCCGTYATTCTAGTTCTTTTACAATAATGATTAAATATGAGTATAATTAATTTAGACAATAATTGAAATTATAGTTTAATTCTACAAGGCTAAAAAATATACAATATGTACCCGTGTCTCGTACTTCTGTCGTCTATTAGCAGGTAACAACTAATAATAGTTAWGTTTAATAGTATTATATTATTACCTACGTACAAAATGAAATTCGTTTTTATTCAATACGTTATTAACTTACTGAAATATTTAGTTTCAAAGAAACTAACAATGTGATATTTCATGATTATATTAATTACAAATATACAACTGTATACACATTTTATATAAAATAATAGCGATATTTGATTTCAGTATACTGTTTTGACCTTAYAATTAGTCAAAATATATATATTTTTAAATTAGCTCTTATAAAACTGCAACACAACACATTTAACATTCACATGATATATAATCATATATTCATTTTATAACAGAACAGTGGAGAAATACTGACCTGAGTTTCGTGAGCCTTATAAAAAGCACAACCTTTTCCGCCATTTAAAGAATTTATCGAGGACACACTATCTCCGACTCTATCATTTGGTGTTATGATTTTTCGTAGTCTTTCTCGTTATTATTGCTGTTCGCCCGGCTTAATTAGCAATTAGCTCTAAAAAAAATAATAGCAATGACCAATGACCTTAAATGACCAACTCCAAATTCATAAGCTTTTAAATAAAATAATTAAACTAGGAATTATAAAGAAACAATCGCTAATATAATATTGTTATTAGTTAGTGTTTTTCTCGGCTATATATTAATAATGATCGCGGTTTGCGTGAATATCAGAWTATCGCGAGTGAGTGTGACGTAAGATAATCCAGGCCGACCACACCCGCTTGTGTATAATATAATAACATTATATACATACCTATGTATAGCGACCTCGCCTTCGAGTTTTGACATTAGTTCTCTGGACCAGTTTTTTTTCGTACTGGCGGCGWATGGTACTTTTATTGCATATTAAAGTATATACATAAACACATTACATTTATACATAATATTTTGTACGACACACGTCGTTCAACACACACACACACATTTTTTTAGATATAAATATGTATATTATACCTACACTATTCCTACACTGCTACATACAACAATGATAACTCGCAATGTATATAAACGTTATATTATTATTATGCCTTACGTTGTCTACTCCCACAGGCGACACAACACGCGTATAATATGCTAAATACTGTATGGCCCTACTCGACACTACACTGCAGAGGACAATAAATTGCTATTTTCGGCTAGATATATAGTACCTAGTTTTGTAACTGATTTAATAGCGTTCCACTGCTGCTAGAGCACCACCAACTTCTACTACAGTTATTTTACTATCATAATAATTTATAACAGAATACAGTGATTGTTTTCTAAAACGTTCGGCCTATCATCTACGAACAATTTTTACACGCAGGCTCACACACACGATGGATGCCTACTCTGCCTTCTATAATTAATAACAATACCTACATCATAGAGACAGGTTGTCTCAATGTCTCACGAATCGTGAAATCGTTCGTATCGATTGTAAGGACGGCTATTTTATGATTAAATTTACACAAAATTCGCCTCAATTAATACTATCCAATATTCAATATATTGTGATGTAATTGTTGAGCTATAATATTATAAATAAAAGCTAGTAATAAAAAAAAATATCTCAAATATAATATAGTTGTAAGTTTTGATATGTTATACAGTTTTTGGAAGAAAATTTACATCATTTCATGTAGGTCGACAATAAATATGATTTTGTAGATATCTAATATAATTAATATCTCAAAATATGGCACCACATCAACCTCGTTTTAATAATTTATAAATTTAAATCATATAGGTAATTCTACACAGGTTGCTTAATATTTTAATTATATAGGTAACTAATGACTAATGAGTTATTAATCTATAAYTAAACCGTTTATAATCATAAACTGTGTATATAAAAAATCATTATTAGTACTTACCTAGTTTCACGTTTTACATACAAAGGTTATGATAAAAAATAAGTTGAAAACATCAGTATTTAGTAAACATGAAATAAAACATTATGATGTTCAAGTGTGTTCAACG